AAAGACCTATACGGTTCAAATATTAAAAAAAAAAAAAAAAAAAAAAATCCAACAACCAAAATCCAACCAAAAAAAACCCACAGCCAAACAAACAGCCAAATCACAAAAGAAAAAAAGAAAGATGATGCTGGTTTTGTTGGTGTGAATGTGAGTGTGAGTCTATGCTGATCTGTGTGCTTGGCTGCAAATGTAGGTATGCATGTGTTGTGTTGCAGGATGCACGGCCGAACGCACAACAGACACCAGTAGAGTCAGATCCTGCTCCATTCTATTGCCCAAATAGACTGACTTTTACAGTGAACTTAACAGGGGCGGACAGTGTCTCACACATGATTATTGGTCAAAAGCACTCAGACAAACAACTACAAGAAAACAACCCCACCTGTAAGAAAACAACCCCCTTCTGATTAGCAGTCACGTAGACCTTGTCCTTGAAGACAGATGCTGGCAACAATATTTTTCTAAATTCCTCAATTGGGCAATGTGGGAACACTGTCATGGGAACTTCTCATAGTTGCCCTGGTAGCTTGGTTTGCTCAGCTGCAGCAAGCCATGGGGTTTTTGCTGGTTCAAAAAATCCCTCAACAGTGTTGCATGTATGAGTTCCTACTGAGAACACATTCTCAGCCTTGCTACTGGCTGGGCCTGGGTGTGTGAGGCCATGGCAGCCACCCCTCTGTCGGGCTACCAGTTTCAGCTCTACCCAGCAGTAAGTCTTGGGGAAAGCAGTGAGATCGCCCCTTAATAAAAAGGAGACTATCGGGAGGGTCAGGGCTCACCTGACTGGAGACAATTCTTGCAGAAACCTTTCCACTCGACTCTCCACCACTTGACTCTCCACCTCACCACCCTTGCAGGAATCTTGCACTTTTCCCAGTCTCTCCTCAGCCTCTCTTTTTTTCCTCGCAAGCTCCCCATCCCAGATTCTCACAACAAAGAGGCAGTTTCTAGGTTTGGAGACACTAAAGTTGCTCTGTACTGGCCCAGTTCACACTGCCTCAGGGTGCTGTGGGGGAGGTTTCTCTTCCACCCTCTATAGATCATGTGTTGCATGAGATGGCTTAAATGTACACTTTAAAACTGGGACTCCCCAATCCTCTATGTCCTTTTGGAGGCCAAAGCTTCTGCCAAGGCGGCGATGTCCTTTCAGGGCCCAAAGCTTATGCCAAAGTGGCTGTTGAGGGTGGCTGAAGAGGCGCGAGGGTGGCTGAAAAGACGCAGCAGAGCCAGCAGAAGCAGTGGCAAGCTATTTCAATCAGGTGTCACCGCTGTTTCATGGCCACTCAACAGGTGATCAGTTCCAAGGCAGTTGCCTACTGCAGAGGAGCAGCAAGAGGGCGCTTTTCTGCATTGAGGCCGCTCAAGGCTTCTGAGGCAGCCACCACGACCCAGCCGCCCTCATGAGGCTGCCTGATGAGGTGCAGGCGGAGCCAGCAGCTCTCCCTATCATATGAAGGCAGGCCCTAGGAAGCATGAGCAACCAGGCAGGAAGCACTCACTGAAGTGCTTGCCAAAACCACTATGGAAACCCAGACTGCGTGCCTGCCCAAAGATGTGGCTGTTCAGGTCTCTGGCTGCAGGGAGTGCCTGAGCCTGCTGCTGCCAATGGTGGGTGAGAGATACTGCCTGCGTGAGGTGCGAGCGGGTAGAGGATGTGATCAGCCTGGTGGCAGAGCTCAAGAAGGAGGTTAAGGACTATCAGGGAGTGTGAGCAGGAGTTGGGCTGGTGGAGTCGCTCCCTATCATGCCTGAGAGAAAGGCACTGGGGCAACGCACCCAAAATAGTGGTGGACCTCCCACCCTGTTCTTGTTGGGCAGATGGAGGGGGCCTGAGAGATGGAGAGGAATGGATACTGGTCCCTGTTTGGCATCACAGGCGGCCCCATCCCTACCCGCCTCTCCACAACAAGTGCCCTTACACACTAGATTTGAGGCCCTGGAGTGCAAGGGACAGGGTGGTGAGGATGTGGGGGAAAGGCCACACAGGACGCTGTCTCAGGCAAGGAAGTCACCTCCACTCCTCAAGACTTCCTCCACCAAGAAAGAAAGAAGGGTAATGGTTAAAGGCAACTCCCTTCTGAGGGACAGAGAGGGCCTGCAAGCTCCCCATCGCAGATTCTCACAGCAAAGAGGCAGGTTCTAGGTTTGTAGAGGTTAAATCTGCTCTGTAATGGTACTGGTGGTATTCCAGCCATGTTAGAGGGAAGAGCCTGTGAGGACATTCCAACAATTTGAAAATGAATTCTGACATGTCATCTGAAAAGTCGAATTTCTTCTTTTCCCACTAGAAGCAATGACACATGTGGGTAGAGAGTGACAGAGGTCTGGGACTGTTTCTAACCTTCTCTTCTCCACATGCCTGTCCCTCTTAGTTGAGAATGTGCTCTGCCTGCTGATATAAAAGTTTATTTCCCTCCATTTTATCTCATCCTCCTCACTTCTTTTCTCCCCTAACATACCAGGCAAAGATATTTAACAGTCTCCACTTGCAGTGGTCAGGGAAGGAAAGATTGTGACTTTCAATAGTTCCCTTCACCCCTGGTGCAAATACTCTAAAGGGAAGAATGCCAGGACTTTTCTTTAAAAAAAAAAAAATAATAATAATAATCCCAAGTACAGCTCTCAGGGGTTCTGCACCAGGAAAATTAAATTATATGGCTGGGGGCCAGGTTTGATGGAGAGAGTTTGTGTTCTGCCTGCTATTTTCTCCCATAGGAGTATGTTGCCACATGAGTGTTCACCACACTCTTTCAGATGTTTTAAGTAGATGTATAGCACCTGAGTACATGCTGATAAACAGAAAGCATCTTCTACTCCAAAATGGTTGTACACAACAGACTCAAAGACTCCTGAAGATGAGGCTACAAAATGTTCCAAAGTTCCTCTAGCTGAGAGGAACTACAAACATTTAATATTTTCCTGTGGCGGCCTTACCTTGCTGTGAATCTGATCTCCACCACAACCTCTCTCTCACTCACTCCCCCTTCCTGGAAAAAGAGGGGAGGATAAAGTACGATCGATAGAAAACAAACAACAAAAAAACAACCAAACAAACAAAACTTACAGATTAAAGGAAAATTTAAGGGAAAATGAAGAATGAAAACTAAAAACAAAACAAAACAAAAAAACAACAACAAAACACCAACAAGCAAAGACTGCAAGGCAGCACAGAGAGAGAGAAAATAAATTACTATTTCCCATCAACGTGTCCTGTTCGGCCACATCCCAGGAAGCATGGCCTCAGTACATGTAGTGCTTGCTTGGGAGGACAGACATTTTTGTAACAAGAGCCCTCCCATGCCCCGCTTCTCCTTTCCCACCTTTTATTGCTGAGTGTGACATCATACGGTATGGAATATCCCTTTGGTCAGTTTAGGTCAGCTGCTCTTCTCCGTCCTCCGACCAAGCTTCATGGACAAATCAGAGCACGGGGAGGGGCATCAGTCTCTAGCCTCTTCTCTCTTAATGCACACTGTTCTGGAACAGCTGCTCCTAACCATGCTGACCATTTTGCTTGCTCTTCTGCCTGGTGAGAGACAATAGATCCATCTGCAGCGTCATCCAGGCCATGCTGGACTGGTGTGAGGTGAAGGGCCATTTTTGGCCACTGTCCATACTTCTCCTTTTCACTTCTTCTCTCTGACTCATGCAGGTGCTGGGGTTGGAAAACTCATCACACAATGGCCAGAGGAAACCCTCAAGAGAGCTGGAGAGACTGTGGACATCTCCTGTTACCAGAATAATAGCCACCAACTTGCCTATATGTTCTGGTAGCAGCAGCCTCCAGGGAGTAGCCTTAAGTTAGTAGCCAGCACTTCTCTGTGGTTGCAGAAGTCTTATGCGGAAGGTTACAGTGAGGCCAAGTTTGAGATCAGCAGAGACAACAGTGAACTCTCTGTTATAGCTATCAAGAATGTGACACGCAAGGATGCAGCCACGTATTTCTGTGCTGCGAGTGATCACACGGTATCGTGAGGGGGTTGAGCACTAACATAAAATCCCCACCTTGCCAGAATGGGAGACAAAGTCTCTGAAAAATGTGAGACAGATTGGAGAGGGGCAGAGGAAGAGCAGAAGGAACTCAAGGGCAAAGTAAGTTAATGGAACCGGCACTCTTTGGAGGGAAGAGGGTCAAGCAAACCAATGCAGCAGCACCTAGTATTTTTGAAGACAAAAACCCTTTAGACATACAAACACACAGGTCGGCGTTAAGTATTGAAGCACTGCTGGCGTGGTTAGTAAAAGGCAGCAGATACTTCTCAGGACTAGTGCTACAGCAGCACAGGCGTGTTCTGGGCCACCAGTCCCCACAGCAGGCCTACCGTGGCACCAAGCAGAGAGAGAGGGTGGTAAGAGAAGGGTGGCTGTTGAGGGAGGAGAGCCCAGCCTCTGGCAATGGACATGGGAGGCTGACACCAGTCCAGGTGGGAGGAAGCATACCCAGGGCACCAGGCATTCAATCCACTGTGGAGAGGGCAGCCCCTTGGCAGCTTCACAAGTAACAATGTGCCCTGGCAGACACTTTTAGCCACCTGCTCCACACACCTCTTAACTGCCACAGGAACGCATACAGTTCTGAGCAGGACTAAGGCACCTCTTGATGGCAAAAATGCATGGCTAGAGTGCTGCCTAACTAGGCTTGCAATTTCCGTATCCCACCTCCCCCTTTTAAGGCTCCCTTCAAGAGCCAGAGAAGGAACCGTCACCCCCCGTGTGGAAGCACATGGTATGTGGGCAAAGCTGTGGTCTGGTCTGCTCATGGGAACGTCAGGCACCTCGGCATTGGTACATGGGACACTAGTACTGTAGGCAGTCAGTCAAAAAGGAGCTGCAAAACAGCACATCCTTCAAGCAGCACTCTGCACCCTAGGTGGGGCCTCTCTGTACCCACTTCCTCCCGAGGCCTCAGGAAGCCCAGACTAAAATACAAGACTCTCTCTCTTTCTATCTCTCTCTCACTCTTTTTTTTTTTTTTTTTTTTTATTCTTCAGCAGTTTAAAAAACAGATCATCCACTCTCAAAGGCATACATGACATCGCAGGGGGCTGGGTTGGTAATCTCCTTAGAGGGAAAAGGTCTCTCAGACAGTCTCTGTGCTACCTGCTTACGTCAAGCAGCGGACACTCCTGACCCCTTCCCAGACTAATGCCAGAGCTTGCAGCAGAAGTCCTGAATCCTTGTTCCTAAGTCCTTGATGACAGACATATAGTGAAAGTACCCCATACATGTCTCTCCCCATTCTCTGTGAATCCCAGTAACGAAGAGGGCACACCTGTAGGCGCAATGGTGCTGGAGCTCATGGCACAAACAGATCTCAAATGGAAAACTCAGAGATCATCCAGGAGACAGGCCCCATCAGAAAAGAATTCAGGCTGTTCATCGGGAACTCTGAAAGATGAACTGACTCCTTTGTGTTCAGGTTCAAATTAGAACATCTTCCCTCCCTCTCTCCCACCTCCTCCACTTTCTTTAAGATGACGAAGCTCTCCGTGGAATGTAAATGCCCTCTTCTGATCACTGTGGGTGAACATCCCACAGGCCCATTTTTCGGGCTCTTTCCAAACATAAACTCCTATGGTGGGTCCAATTCTCCAGGTGCAAACAATTCTCTCAATGAGTGCAGTGGCACTGCAGCAGAACGCTGGTGGCTCCAGGGGCATGGGAGAAAGAAATAAGGAGGGTTGCTAAATGGAGAGCAGCCGTGTTGGGTATTATCAGTGGTCTGGCAATGACAGCTTGCATTTCTAGAAATACGTTCTCCTAGTTCAGGCATTTCAGTCAGCTGTGTCATTGCTGTACTCAGATAAAATAGGTAAATTCGTCCAGTCTGATGCAAGATCCTGGGAAAGGGAAAGCTGGAGAGACCATGGGCTGACAAAGATAAAGCTCTCCAGGAGCATAAAGCAGAGGAGTTTCTGAGGCTAGTCCTCATCCACATCACAGAGCTTGGTCGTGGAGGCACCATGCATTCTCTCTTCCTCCTTCTCTCCTGCCTGGGAGCCGCTGGTACGTTCTCTAATGATACTGATCTTCTAGCTACCTGCACACCTGAGCAAACCTTCTCTCACAGGCTCTTGCCTTGTCCTCTCTACTGGCCCTTCTCTTTCCCCAGTAGCATGACATTCTGTTTTTCCTCAATTTCCACCCATGTCAGAGACATAGACTCTCAGCCTCCTAGAGAGGTGGAGAAGGTAGGACAAGACAAGGGTGCATAAAACAATGCAGGGCTTGCTGTCTCCTTGTCTACAAGAATTAGGGAGTATGAAAGACAGCTGGGCATTTGGGCAGGTTCAAAAACAGCAAAGGACATGGCCTGAAAAAATCTGGGGGGGGTGAAGGTGAGTTAGAGGGGAAGAGGATAGGGCGGATGGACGGGCAACACATTTGTGAAAGAGAAGTCCATTGCGGTTTATGAAGTCATCTTCTGCTCCTTGCCTCTGTAATGGATGGTCAGAGGCAGGATCCCAGCCTGCAATGTTCTAGTGCAGTGGGTTCTAAAATGGGGTGCATGCACCTCTGGGGTTGTGCATTACAGTGTGGGAGGAAAACATTTGAAGTTCAGTAGGGCAAGAACGTAACTTTGAAATGAACAAATAGACATATGTCAGGGCTGTGGGAAGGTGTTTTACTGATAGGGGTATGCAATCAAAAAGGCTGGAGACCACTGTTCTGTTGGCTTCAACAAATACCATCTTTCTTACATTCTGCTGTGACATCATCCTCCAACTCTGTGAAGCCTTTGTGTTCTCTCTGAATCCTTCACTACCAAGTTTTTCTACCTGTCTTGCTCACCCTTTGTCTCACCCCTGCAAATGAAGAAGTTCTCTCAACTGCATTTGCCCGTTTTCCATACGCTTTCTACCATGGCACAGCTGTCTCATCCCAACCCAAAGGTGCCCCGGAAGGAACACAGTGAAGGCTGCGTACATTTCATTTATGAAGTTTTTTGGCAGCTTGTGCTCTCCTGTTCTCTTCCTGACTTCAGGTGGTACAGACAAAGCCTGGTGTTTCAGAGTAGTGCAGAAAGAACTCAGCAGGATATTTCAGGAGTTGCCTGAAGACTTCTGAAGTTTCAAGCTGTCTTGGCTCTTGCTCATTCTCTGTAGCTCACTGGCTGCTGCTACACTTTAAGAGAACGGATTCAGGCATGGTGCTGTGAAACCCAATTCTCTTTTCCTCAGTTGCTTTCCCTAGAGCTGCTGATGATGACAAGATTGTGGGAGGCTACAACTGCCCAGAGCATTCAGTTCCCTACCAGGTGTCCCTGAATGCTGGCTATCACTTTTGTGGAGGATCCCTCATCAACAACCAGTGGGTCGTGTCAGCTGCTCACTGCTACAAATCGTACGTATGGCTTGGGTTGTTTATCTGGGTGGATTCTGCTCAAATCTTACAAACCTACCACATCTAGAACGCCGGTGCCTCTCAAGAGAAGACCATGCATGCATGGGGGGAGGGACAGGGGCGGGGCAATGCATGGTGTACCTGAAGCCAAAGGAGAAACCCTAGCCTCAGTCCTGCTGTGTTACGTGGTCTTTCCAGTATTCCTGCACTCCTAGCATCCTTTTCTGTGCATCCTAACATGCCCTTCGGTCTACATTTACACATCCATGGGGCTTACTATTACCGCTTTCTTCTTTCTCATTCCTCCAGACTTTCTCCATTCTCTCTTCCTGAGTTTAGGGCACATTTCTGTGCAGAGGGAGAAACAGGAAACTGAATCTCCCTTTCTTGCCTATCTGGCAATGCTCTCCCAACTCAGTCTTCCATGAAATCGTGAAGTTCCTAGAGCTGCGTGACACACAAACCGTTGATTAGCACAGCACTCCCTTACTCACTTTCAAGTGTTTGCCGGTCCCCACGTGGCAGCCAGTTGTTCTACCCATGGCTAACTGCTGCTTTTCTCTGCTGACAATTTTGCAGCCGTATACAAGTGAGGCTGGGAGAGTACAACATTGATGTGCAGGAAGACAGTGAAGTAGTCAGGAGTTCTTCCGTAATCATTCGCCATCCTAACTACAGTTCAAGAACCCTTAATAATGACATTATGTTGATCAAGCTGGCATCCGCCGTGGACTACAGTGCCGACGTTCAACCCATAGCCCTGCCCACCTCTTGTGCCAAGGCGGGGACGGAGTGCCTGATTTCGGGCTGGGGAAACACACTGAGCAGTGGCAGTGAGTATCTACACACACCACATGTAGCTTTCACACTTCTGCTCTACCACCATGCTCGTGAGACCCATGTACAGTTCACCCCTTCTTTGCAGCCTTTTCTTGTTGTGCCCGCAAGTCCTCCACGCTGCCCTGACTTCACGCTGCCCTGCCAGTGTGTCTCAATCTACAATGCACTTCACTGTTTTACTTTACCCTGCTCGGCTGGATGGCTCTCGCATATAGGTCGTTGGTCTTTCTGATCACTGACAGTACTGAGTCCCAAGACAAAACCTAAAATTGTTACTGCTCTCCCGGCAGCCTATTACCCTGAACTCCTCCAGTGCCTGCAAGCGCCAATTCTGACTAACCAAGAGTGCCAAGATGCTTACCCGGGTGAAATCACCAGCAACATGATCTGCATAGGATTCCTGGAGGGTGGGAAAGACTCATGCCAGGTAGGAGTTGATGCCTGCGCAGAGCCCTGGGCCACACACTGCCAGGGTGCCCCAGGCTGCACGGTATACATCGGAGCTTGGCAGCCTGCTTAGCTTCAGCCTCCTTCTCGCCAGTTGCTCTCTTCTGACGCACCCTTTGCAGCAGGCTTTGGGTACAGGGTGGACTTCACTGAAAATAGCAGGCCCAGCCGCATCTGCTGGTTGGCACTGAGCGCAATACCAGTGAATTCTGGGGGGCTAGGGGAGGCCAGCAAGCACGGGGGGGTATCTCTCTGTGCTCCCGTATCAGGGCCTGCTGCGCTTTGTTTTGCATTCCCTGGATTCTTTGTGCCAAGTCAAAAACTTTCTGGGTGAGATTCTGCTTTTAAATCATCTTGCGCCTCTAAATTTTCCCCTCCAGGGTGACTCAGGTGGACCAGTTGTGTGCAACGGAGAACTCCAGGGCATTGTGTCATGGGGAATCGGGTGTGCTCTGCAGGGTTATCCTGGTGTCTACACCAAGGTCTGCAATTATGTTGATTGGATCCAAGAGACCATTGCAGCCTACTGATACCTTGACAACCACCTGGCTCCTTGGCCACTACCCTCCCGCCCTAATGCTTTCCCTAAGAAGACAACAGCACAAATAAATATCTAACTTAAAGAGCCTTACAGACATTTACTTTGGGGACTGTAGCTCATCAGAGACAAGTGGGGTTCCCTGCAGCCTTCCACCAGCTCCTCCTGAACCTTCCGTGCTGTTCCGGTTCAGGTGTGTGCACTGGGAGCAGCACCCTAGAGCTGCTGGGCTGTCAGGCTATGGAAATATGGTACTATTCCACCATCCAAGAAGTCTTCTGAGCCAGGCACCTCCTTTTCTTTGCTCCTGGCCCTCTTACTGAGAAAAGGAGCAGGTCTCTGGGGAGCGGGTTCCTACAGCAGCAGAGCAGAGTTCCAATTTGCTCCTGCCAGTGGCAAAGTTTTCTTCTCACTGGCACCGTAACAGCTTTGATGGTGGCCATTACTGCTATGGCACTAGGTGGGACAGCAGGCAGAATCCGGAAGCACAGAGCAATCAGGCTACAGGCAACACCTGTGGGCAGTGATATGTTCTCCTTCACTTGCCCCAGGACATTTGAGACAGGCGGACTGTGTCCACCAGGGTCCAGCAGGTAACACAGACTAGCTGCTAGGGAAAGGCAGCCAACAGCAAACAGGGAAAAATACCCCAGGCATGAACTGCAGTGTAAAGCATCGAGGGAAATCAGTTAAGAAAGGAAGGACAGAGATCAGCTTTGGCAGAAGCTCTGGGCCCTGAACATACATAGAGAACTGGGGAGTTCCAGTTTTAAATGATGTGTTTAACCCATCTCATCCAGCACATGATATGTAGAGTGTGGCAAGAAAGACCTTCCCCAAAGGACCCTGAGGCAGTATAAACTGCTTTTTTTCCTGAAAGCAAAAGCTGTGACTAGACACCACCTCATGATCAGTCTGCTTTTTCTAGTTTGCCAAGCGTGTCCTAGCTAACTGAGGTTTTCACGTTTTCCTCCCTTTTTGTTGTTATCCCTCATGCATTTTCCGGAAGCTCTAAAGAGATTCATACCTGTCCCTTGGCCATCAAAGATTTGTAGAAAGGGCATGCTCTGTCTGTGAGAGTGGTGTACATCTCAGCAGAATTGGTAGCGGATATTCCCCGTCACTCTTTTTTAACCCTGCTTTTAAAGAAGGAAACGGAAGTCACTTGAAACGCTATAGCTCTTCCCAGAGGGGAAGAAAATATGTTCTATGTGATGTGTGAAAGCTTCATATGGTCTCCACTGCCCCTAGGGCACATTGGCACTTAGCATATGAGAAGGAGGGATATGACCATGGGGCCTGTCCAGTCCCTGCTAGTTCTTGCCACTTCAGGTTTTGTCAGGAGAAACTGCTCCTTGTCAGAGACTGTCCTTGTCTCTGACATGGGTGGAAATTGAGGAAAAACAGAATGTAATTCTACTGGGGAAAGAGAAGGGCCAGTAGAGAGGACAAGGCAAGAGCCTGTGAGAGAAGGTTTGCTCGGGTGTGCAGGTAGCTAGACTCAGCAGCTTTAAAGAATGTACCAGTGGCTCCCAGCAAGATAGAAGGAGGAAGAGAGAATGCATGGTTCCTCCACGACCAAGCTCTGTGATGTGGATGAGGACTAGCCTCAGAAACTCCTCTGCTTTATGCTCCTGGAGAGCTTTATCTTTGTCAGCATACAGTTTGTCCAGCTTTCCCTTTCCCAGGATCTTGCATCAGACTGGACAAATTTACCTATTTTATCTGAGTACAGCAATGACACAGCTGACTGAAATGCCTGAACTAGGAGAACGTATTTCTAGAAATGCAAGCTGTCATTGCCAGACCACTGATAATACCCAACACGGCTGCTCTCCATTTAGCAACCCTCCTTATTTCTTTCTCCCATGCCCCTGGAGCCACCAGCATTCTGCTGCAGTGCCACTGCACTCAATGAGAGAATTGTTTGCACCTGGAGAGTTGGACCCACCCCAGGAGTTTATGTTTGTAAAGAGCCCAAAAAATGGGCCTGTGGGATGTTCACCCACAGTGATCAGAAGAGGGCATTTACATTCCATAGAGAGCTTCCTCATCTTAAAGAAAGTGGAGGAGGTGGGAGAGAGGGAGGGAAGATGTTCTAATTTGAACCTGGACACAAAGGAGTCAGTTCATCTTTCAGAGTTCCCGACAAATAGCCTGAATTCTTTTCTGATGGGGCCTGTCTCCTGGATGATCTCTGAATTGTCCATTTGAGATCTGTTTGTGCCATGAGCTCCAGCACCATTGCGCCTACAGGTGTGCCCTCTTTATTACTGGGATTCACAGAGAATGGGGAGAGACCTGTATGGGGTACTTTCACTATATGTCTGTTGTCAAGGACTTAGGAACAAGGATTCAGGATTTCTGCTGCAAGCTCTGGCATTAGTCTGGGAAGGGGTCAGGAGTGTCTGCTGCTTGACGTAAGCAGGTAGCACAGAGACTGTCTGAGAGACCTTTTCCCTCTAAGGAGATAACCAACCCAGCCCCCTGCGATGTCATGTATGCCTTTGAGAGTGGATGATCTGTTTTTTAAGCTCCTTTTTGACTGACTGCCTACAGTACTAGTGTCCCATGTACCAATGCCAAGGTGCCTGTCATTCTCATGAGCAGACCAGACCACAGCTTTGCCCACATACCATGTGCTTCCACACGGGGGGTGACGGTTCCTTCCCTGGGTCTAGAAGGGAGCCTTAAAAGGGGGAGGTGGGATACGGAAATTGCAAGCCTAGTTAGGCAGCACTCTAGCCATGCATTTTTGCCATCAAGAGGTGCCTTAGTCCTGCTCAGAACTGTATGCGTTCCTGTGGCAGTTAAGAGGTGTGTGGAGCAGGTGGCTAAAAGTGTCTGCCAGGGCACATTGTTACTTGTGAAGCTGCCAAGGGGCTGCCCTCTCCACAGTGGATTGAATGCCTGGTGCCCTGGGTATGCTTCCTCCCACCTGGACTGGTGTCAGCCTCCCATGTCCATTGCCAGAGGCTGGGCTCTCCTCCCTCAACAGCCACCCTTCTCTTACCACCCTCTCTCTCTGCTTGGTGCCACGGTAGGGCCTGCTGTGGGGACTAGTGGCCCAGAACACGCCTGTGCTGCTGTAGCACTAGTCCTGAGAAGTATCTGCTGCCTTTTACTAACCACGCCAGCAGTGCTTCAATACTTAACGCCGACCTGTGTGTTTGTATGTCTAAAGGGTTTTTGTCTTCAAAAATACTAGGTGCTGCTGCATTGGTTTGCTTGACCCTCTTCCCTCCAAAGAGTGCCGGTTCCATTAACTTACTTTGCCCTTGAGTTCCTTCTGCTCTTCCTCTGCCCCTCTCCAATCTGTCTCACATTTTTCAGAGACTTTGTCTCCCATTCTGGCAAGGTGGGGATTTTATGTTAGTGCTCAACCCCCTCACGATACCGTGTGATCACTCGCAGCACAGAAATACGTGGCTGCATCCTTGCGTGTCACATTCTTGATAGCTATAACAGAGAGTTCACTGTTGTCTCTGCTGATCTCAAACTTGGCCTCACTGTAACCTTCCGCATAAGACTTCTGCAACCACAGAGAAGTGCTGGCTACTAACTTAAGGCTACTCCCTGGAGGCTGCTGCTACCGGAACATATAGGCAAGTTGGTGGCTATTATTCTGGTAACAGGAGATGTCCACAGTCTCTCCAGCTCTCTTGAGGGTTTCCTCTGGCCATTGTGTGATGAGTTTTCCAACCCCAGCACCTGCATGAGTCAGAGAGAAGAAGTGAAAAGGAGAAGTATGGACAGTGGCCAAAAATGGCCCTTCACCTCACACCAGTCCAGCATGGCCTGGATGACGCTGCAGATGGATCTATTGTCTCTCACCAGGCAGAAGAGCAAGCAAAATGGTCAGCATGGTTAGGAGCAGCTGTTCCAGAACAGTGTGCATTAAGAGAGAAGAGGCTAGAGACTGATGCCCCTCCCCGTGCTCTGATTTGTCCATGAAGCTTGGTCGGAGGAGGGAGAAGAAACTGGCTATGTAAACTAGCATAAATAAATGTGCAAAATAGGAACGCGAGATAGCCTTTGTAGCCTATAAGTTACCAAAATCAGTTATCAGATTTGGCATGAGAAACAACATTTAAAATGCCTGATGATAGCCATTCTCTATTGCAGTGGTATGTCTTTATGAATGAAATTAACAGCAGAATCAAAATAAACACTATTTCAGCGTGGAAATGCTTTTGCCCTATTTGTGTGTGATGCACTTAGATTGCTCTGATACTTTCTACCATGCTTACTACCATAAACATTATAATTCCTTTTCCAGAAGACATCTCTAATCCTTATTTGTTTTTCATATTAAGATTTTTTGTAAGAAAACTGTATGCTTATTAAAGCCCAAGAAAATTTATCCAATAGTGTGGAGTATTCCCCGATACCCCGTAGAAAGATAATTTTAATTTAGTCTCTTATGCTATTTTAGCATCACAAAGTATATTACTTTTGTTAATGGATACTTGAGATTTTCTGATGTCTTTCAGGAAGTGGCATGGCAGACGCTTGGAAAATTGTTAATTGCCTAACACATTAAGCTTTAAGGAGCTCATTATCGTAGAAGAAATTATCACAGATTCAGAGAAGAATCTCAGGAAATCTCATTATTTGTGATCACAGTATTTTTGTTCACATACATTATATCCATAAATATCAATTTATACGGAAATTTTTCTGTGCAAAAGCCACTATATGTAGAATATTCCAAAATGAATTAGAAAATGTGATTCACTGCTTAATCTGTTATGATCATTTAGATTAGATGAGAAAAATGCTTTCAAAGAAAACTGGTGAGCATTCCCACATTTGGAAAATTTAACTTAAGAAGTGGTGGGTAATACAGAATAGCTTTCTCATACTCTCTTACTGAAATTACCGATGAATAATTTTTAGTAAGCACTCTGTACAGATGAGAAGACAAGATAATTAAGGAAATTATTTTTTTAAAGTTAATTTAAGAAAACACAAAGTTTCTCTTTTGTTTGTTTGTTGGTTGGTTGGTTGGTTGTTTTGTTTACTTGGTTGTTTTTTGTTGTTAAAATAAATGTAAATTGTCCTATAGTCTTTTACCTACAATATTCAGCTTATGGAAAAAGCATATGTTCTTAAAAATGACTTCATAAGTGCAGAGGAATCTCAAAGGTTTGCTATCAACAAGTGCTGCATACAAAAGTGAGAAGGACAAACAACTACACAACTTCCAAAGCCAAAATATATTTTTATACTGAAGGTTACTCTTTGAAATAATTTAAGAGAGCTATCTTAAGAAATGTTTGTGCTTAGTTGATAAGTTATTTTTACCTTCTGACAGTTCCTTTTAATATCTGTATTTGGATCTTCAAATTTTCCACTGTGTATTTTTCCCTGGAGAAAACCTTGGGCCATAGATAAGGCCATTTCAGAAAATATATTTCCAGCAGGTTACATTTCCAGTCCACCAGTCTGGGCTTGAGGCTGTGTCAAGATCATGAAATACATACTGTTTGTCGCCTTTGTTGGTGTGGCTGGTGAGTATATTTTTAAATTTACTTTTGTAATGTATAATGAAGCTTATTTCTGAAGAAATTTGCAAGGTAGTCTCTTGTGAAAAAGTTAAGTCCAATTACACCTTGCAAAAGTTTTAAGAAAGAGCACTGCAACTTCTTTTGACTGCTACATATCTGTTCAGGATAGTTTGTTTCACAGACTGTGGAATGAATGCCCTCATAAGGGTTCTTGACCCAGGAATATTGAAATGACTATATAGTTTCAATAACTGACTTTATAAATTCATGACTGTCAAGAAAAATGAAGTACAAAGATAATATGTCTTGCTCAGGAAGTCCTGTTGTTGTTATTTCTTGGAACACTGAGGAGTGTTCCAAGGAAATACCACTGCAGACTTATCCTGTACTTTGACTCAGTCTGCTATTGACTACTCCTGCAGACAGGATTGTGCTGGGTCTGGCTGGAATGGAGTTAACTTTCCTTGCAGTAGCCCATACAGTGCTGTGCTCTGCACTTGTAGCTTGAACAGCACTAGTATCACACCAGTGTTTTGTGTATTGCTGCACAATACTGGCACCGCATCAGGACTCCCTCCAAGCCCTCAAGAACCAGCAGGCTGGGGGTGGGCAAGTGATGGGGAGGGGACATTGCTGGGGCAGCTGACCTAAACCAACCAAAGGGATATTCCATACCACATGATGTAACGCTCAGCAATAAAAGGTGGGAATGGGGAAGGAGAGGGGATGGCTCTTGTTGTGGAAGCATCTCCTCCCGAACAACCACTATGTGTATTGAGGCCTGCTTCCCAGGGCCTGCTTCCTGCTTCCCCTCATCTTTGAAGAGAGGGCATGAGTGCGGCCGTGGTGGAACTGTGCTATCCACCTGAGTAAAACCACCACAAGGATCCTGGGACAAACAGACCCTTGATCCTGTCCAACAAAATGTTTCTGTATTCTTAGTTTCAGCCTGGGACCAGCAGCCAGTGCTTTAGATGCAAATAGATGATCTACCAATCTAAGTTCAATCAGCTTATTATAGGGAACAGTAAACAAATGTCTGTTAGACTTGCCCACCGCTGCCACTGTGCATTTTAATAGGACCAGAGCCTACAAAAGAGACACTTCAGGCAATCACAACACCACAAAGTTCCTTATGTCAGATGTTAACATATGCTACTTCTTATCTCCCAGTTGCCTTCCCCATCAGTGATGATGATGATGACAAGATTGTGGGAGGCTACACCTGTACAAAGAACTCTATTCCATATCAGGTGTCCCTGAATTCTGGGTATCACTTCTGTGGAGGTTCTCTCATCAGCAGCCAGTGGGTCCTGTCAGCGGCTCACTGCTACAAGTCGTGAGTGGAAAAAATATATTCTTCCATAACCTATTTCTTCCAGTTCACTTTTAACAGTGAGATTCTAATATGTATGAGATTCAAATATGCAACGGACCCAGCTCTGACAGGAGACAATCAAGGAATGGATGGTTCATTCAGAAAGCTGGGCTGGGGCATCATATGGGGTTTTCCATTTTTGCAAATGTTTCTGTGAATGCAGGTTACTTTCTGAAATGACAATGTGATTATCTAACAACAAATTATGGGCTGTGATCTCTTGTAAATTGCATTAATCTTATTACAACCTAGTTACTGGAGAACAAGAAGAGGAATGACCTCTTGGTGGTACCAGTTTGTCTTTTTCCAGAAGGTTTGTATAAGGCACTGTAATATATTTAATTTGACCCAGCTCAGAAAAGTAATCCTTCCTGAATTCACCAGCTGAACTGGGTGTGCATAAAATCTCACTGAGGATGCCCAGGAGCTATTGCAGGACAATAAAGGTACCCTGAGTGAAAAAAGCTACTACTATAATGATGTTGAAGCTAGTGCATACAGTGACAGGGAGGATTCTACAAACTACAATGTCAGTAACTGTAAAGTATATGACATTCTTTGTCTTTTCCAGTTCCATCCAAGTGAAACTTGGGGAACACAACCTGGCATCCCAAGAAGGCACTGAGCAGACCATAAGTTCATCTAAAGTCATCCGCCACTCTGGCTACAACGCCTACACGCTGGACAACGACATTATGCTCATCAAACTTTCCAAAGCAGCCACACTCAACTCCTATGTCAACACAGTTCCTCTTCCTACCAGCTGTGTGGCCACTGGCACCACATGCCTAATCTCTGGATGGGGCAACACACTCAGCAGTGGCAGTGAGTGCTCAGAGAGAATGTACAGCATTCTGAGGGCCTGGGAGCCATTCAAAGACCTCACAATTAGGTCCAAACAGTACAGGGTAAAGAACAGAATATTGCTGCAGGTTAGGCCTTTTTGAGGAATGACTATAAATGATCTGTGTAGGACAGTAACCATTTAAATGCTCTAATGGCAAGCCTGGTCCTTCCTCTTGTTGTATGTTATGAAAATGGAATCATTTAGGTCATCCAAGTGCCCTTCACTAGGATGCCTACTTTACCATACATTATGTGCCTTGGCACTACGCAGTGCCAAGCGCTAGCAATTTAGCTAATGTTAATAGAGTTGCCAGTTCTCTGAGAACATGATAAAAATATGTGCATCTAAAATTGCTACAAGAGAGCTCCACTCTCCTACACCAATAGTCAGAAGTGCAGATGGTGGCTGATGTGCAGATGATGGTGGCTATCTAATTCTCTGAAAACCACCAAACCTACACCAGAGGAGAGGATGCTTTTCCTCAGACCCATGTTTTCTCCAACATATGCACTAAAGGAATAGCTCTTAGCTCCACACTTGCCAGTTGATGGTTTTCTAGATATCACAAATGTTTATGCAGCTGAAATGTAGAACAGTGGACCCATGGGCAGAATCTCTTCCACCTAAATAGAATCCAGGCTGTGATTTTCCTTCAGAGGAAAAATGAGGACTAATAAATTAGGGTGTTGAGCAATGACTTTTCTGCAAAGAAAGGTGGCTTCTCCGGGCTCTGAAATCAAATCAGACATGTCATCAGACATTTCTCTATTTTCTTGTAGGTCTGTATCCAGATAACTTGCAGTGCCTGAGAGCTCCTGTACTCTCCTCAAGCCAGTGCAGCAGTGCCTACCCCGGCCAAATTACTAGCAACATGATATGTGTAGGATACCTGGAAGGAGGGAAAGACTCCTGCCAGGTAAAACATCTGCCTCTCCTACCTGTATCTCTCCTGCAGTTTGCTAGTGGAAGAGGATATCATGTTAAAGAAGCTGCTATCCTCAGTGGCACGTTTGACCCCTGTTTTTTGACTAACAGTGGAGGCTTAGGATAGAGGTTACTTACTGAGCAAGTTAGGTTTTTCACTCAATTTGTCCTTCTTGGGCATTTTCTTTTGTTGTTGATGAGTTGTTTTGTTTTTGTTTTGGGGACATGATGCACCTCTCTGGCCTAATTCTCCACAAGCAGAGTATGCCACCTTCTGCAGTTTAGGCCTCTGAAAATGGAGGAGTGCTGCACCACAGAATCAACAATAATCACAGTGGATATAGAGCTTAGGATGCAAAGGTTGCTTTTGGACTCACTAAAAATGAAATACCCAGTACGTCAATCTCTAAGAAGTCTGGTAAATGAACACAACTGGCAATTGCTCTGCGTGTTACTTATGCCTAACTCCAGGGAAATATTTGACAGAATAATGTGTAAAACACAAATTTCCTGAGCATCAACCAAGAACTGCATCTGTGAAAAACAGGCAGTTTACTCACTCTTAGCTATGCTAAGCTAAAGTAAGGCACACTAGCATCAAGTCTAGAGTGGTAATCTGAAATGATGATTGTAGAGTTTCTGTGTGAAAAAAGCCCATGAGAGCTCTCCAGAATTTCAGTGTTTTCTGAGACATCTGGCTTATTGTTTATGCTGAAAATGTTTGCTGAATGTCTGTATCCTTTATCTGCATAGGGGGATTCTGGTGGTCCAGTAGTCTGCAATGGGCAACTCCAAGGTATTGTTTCCTGGGGCATTGGATGTGCACAGAAAGGCTATCCTGGAGTTTACACTAAGGTTTGCAATTATGTCTCCTGGATCCAATCAACTATTGCTGCCAACTGAGACACTGTCTTCTATGTGACCTGCTTTTCCTCCTCATCATTTTCTTCTGTTTTAGAATTGGACATACAAAACTTATCAAAAAATAAAGGCTTTCAGGCAGACCTTCTTTGTGCAGAGTTCCTCTGGGTACTTCCATGGGTTATCATGTAGAGGACAGAGACACAGAACACTCTGGGGAAATGTACGGGGTCTGGCAGGGGTGGAGTTAACTTTCACTGCAGTGACCCGTACAGTGCTGTGGCTGCTCTTGTAGCTAGAACAGCATTGGTATCACACCAGTGTTTTGTCCATTGTTGACCAATACTAGCACAGCATCAGGACTCCCTCCAAGCCCGCAACCTGCAAGAATGAGCAGGCTGGGGGTGGGCAAGAGATGGTGAGGAACATCACCAGAACAGTTGTCCTAAACTGACCAAAAGGATATTCTATACCATATGATGTCACACTCAGCAATAAAAGGTGGGAAAGGAGAAGCGGGGAGTGGCAGGGCTCTTGTTACTAAAATGTCTGTCCTCCCAAACAGCTACTACATGTACTGAGGCCATGCTTTCTGGGGTGTGGCCAACCATCATGCATTGATGGGAAATAGAGTGTAATTTATTTTCTCTCTGTGTGCTTCCATGCGGCCTTTGCTTATTGTTTTTGTTTGGTTGGTTTTTTCTTCCTCTTCCCTTTAATTAATTTTTCCACAACCATAAGTTGTGGTTTTCTTTGTTTGTTTTTTGTTTGTTTGTTTGTTTGTTTTCTTTTGAGCATACTTTATTCTTCCCTTCCTCTTCTACAGAGAGAGAGTGAGAGCGTTGTGGTGGAGTTCTGATGCCAAGCAAGGTAAAACCACCACAGAAACATATTAAATGTTTGTAGTTCCTCTCAGCTAGAAGAACCTTGGAACATTTTGTAGCATCATCTTCAGGAGTCTTTGAATCTGTTGTGTACAACCATTTTGGAGTAGAAGATGCTTTCTGTTTATCAGCATGTACTCAGGTGCTATACATCTACTTAAAACATCTGAAAGAGTGTGGTGAACACTCAGGCGGCAGCATACTCCTATGGGAGAAAATAGCAGTCAGAACATGAACTCTCCCCATCGACCCTGGCACCCAGCAATATGTCTAAACTTTTCCTGAGAGCTGTACTTGGGAAATGAAAGCAACCTCTTCCTAGGACTAGTTTTCTTAATGTACCAATGCTATGACCTAGTGAGGCTATTTTTACTAATTGGGGCTCCCGTCTATACCATTTTTCTCAGTTAACAGGGTGTGCTGGGCTTCCTTAGTTTTCCTGGACCAGTCAAAAGAACAGAGATTGTTCTGGGTTCTGGTTTTAAATTCCCCTAACCCTAACTGGCACTGGGAAAGTCCATGAAAAAGCTGCAGAAGTGGACTATGTAGCTTTCTAAAAACAAATAAACAAAATAAAGTAAAAAGAAAAAACAGAGACAGGGAGAAATGGGAACAAGTGCAAGAGTAACCGGGGACTGCCAGGACTGGAGGAAAAGGAGAGGAGAAGATCAGGGCTTGAAGGAACAAGTACTGTTTTCACTTAGAGAGGTTTGTGCTCTATCAGATGCTTCGAGTAATGGTTGCCTGAGTTGGGGAACAGCACAATATACAAATGATAACAAACCACAGCTTCGTGTCGCATTGTTCTGGAAGTTCTTCTTGAATTCCTTCTCAGAATCTGCCCTTGAATCCTTTTTTTTTATTATTATTATTTATTTTTCTTCTTTTTTTCAGAAAAGTCAGGGCATCCTTCCCATTAGAGTATTTGCACCAAGGTCAAGGTTGAAAGTCATAGTCTTTCCCTCCCTGACTACTGCAAGTGGAGACTGTTTAATATCTTTGCCAGGTATGTTAGGGGAGAAAAGAAGTTGGAGGACCATGGGGAGGATGAGACAAAATGGAGAGAAATAAACTTTTATATCAGCAGGCAGAGTACATTCTCAACTAAGAGGGACAGGCATGTGGAGAAGAGAAGTTTGGAAACAGTCCCAGATCTCTGTCACTGTCCACCCACATGTGTCAGGGCTTTCAGTGGGTAAAGAAGAAATTCGACTTTCCAGATGACATGTCAGACTTGATTCTCAAATTGTTGGAATGTCCTCAGGCTCTCACCTCTTACATGGCTAGAGTACTACTTGTGCCACTAGTGAACAGTGCCATGAAGAGACAGCCAACAAAGTTGTTCCCTTTTTTGCTGACTGCATCTGACTGGGGCAGAACTTTTCACACAGCGGCCTTTGTAGTGCTCTGCATTGTACTTACAGCTAGAACAGTGTTGGTGTCGCACCAATGTTTTGGCTATTGCTGCGCAGTGCTTGCACAGCATGAAGGCTCTATCTCCAGTTCTGCCCCCCTACTGCCACCAAAGGTCAGTAAGCTGGGGGTGGGCAAGACAAAACTGATCAAAAGGATATTCCGTTCTATATGACATCAAGCTCAGCAATAAAAGCTGGGGAAAGAAGGCAAGGAGAGAAAGAAGAGGGTACTTCCGTTATGAAAGCATTCGTCTTCCTGAACATTCGCTACATTTATTGAGGCCCTGTTTAGCGAGAGGTTTTGTGGTACTTAGCTGTCTATCAGTGTTAGACCACAACAATCTTTTTGATTCCCAATGTAGGGCAACTTGAGGTAAGGATGATACTTGGGAGAGGTAACCAGCAATGCACGGACTGGATATTGCCAAAGGCTGTAATAATTCTAGGTTAATTTGTGTTCTGGTTTAGATGAAGGGACGAGGGGTGGAGTGTTCTGGTTCGTCCATCAAGCTTGTTTAGAAGAGGGAGAAGAGACAGCTCGCCTTTGATACCCTTGTTAGTGAGCCACTAAAAGCAAAGCCAAGCATTCATGTGGCTGTTAAGTGTTGCTTAGCCTGTCTGCAAGAGAGGCACAGTTCTGATCTCATTGACAAAAATGTGGGACTGCCTGCAGACCAAAAAAATGCTCTCTGAATGTTGTACTGTCAGTCATTTCATCATTGTGCATTGGAGCTAACAGGCATGGACCTAGGGGATATTTGCTTGCCTGTGGAAATTACTTGGGACATCTTGCCAGAGCTAGTACATTTACATTCTTTTAAATGTAAACATATGTTCCATTCTCGAGAGACCTTCTCAATAGTGAAAGATGCCTATACCTCACAACTCAGAACTCGTGTCAGACAGAAGCAAAGATAGTGGAGACACAAACAAATGTGCTTAGTCACATCTTAGTTTCTTCAGTTTTCTGGTTAGCAAATCATATTCCCTATAGTTCAACCTTCCTGGGAGTACTTCCTAATTCACTTCCGAATTAAAGAAAGGGAGGTATCCCTGCCAGACTTCTTTTCCTGAAAGCGAAAACTGTGACTAGACATCACCTCATGATCAGTCTGATTTTTCTAGCCTGCCAAGTGTGCCCTAGCTAGCATCGTCCTAAAGCTAGCCTTAAGCTAGTCTTAACTAATACTGCTCTATGTTCTTTTCTGAATAAAGAACTTAGGGTGCCAAGAACATAGGATGTTGTAGCTGTTTCTTTTCTCACTAACACTTTGATTGAAGTGGAGGTCTTTGATTGCAGTAACCTTCTTCGTTAGTCCTGATGTTGCTTCTTCCAACCAATATTACTGAGGTTTCACTTTTGCCTCCCTTTTTGTTTTTATCCCTCATGTATTTGCCCAAAGCTCTAGGGAGATTCATATCTGTCCCTTGGCCTTCAACAGCTTGTAGAAAGGACATGTGAGACCACCCAAAATGTGAAAAGCTAGTGGGTGGTCCAAACCCTGCACATCTTAGTATTTGTGTGTGTGTGCAATCACAGGAACATGATGGGGATACCAGTAACTAATTAATTATTGAATTTAATTAATTTCCTGGCTTTAAAAAAAAAAAAAAAAAATTGGCTTTTCAGCTGGTGGAAGAAAGTTTATGTGAACTAATTCCACATCCTGCATGTTTGTGAGTTAATTCAACATGTAGAAAACAATAAGAAATGGAAGAGGATTAAGGAAATTGATGGGAGACAGGTGTCACAGAGGACAAAGAAGAAAGGGGAGGGGTACAGAGAGAAGACTAGAGGAGAAAGAGAAGAGAAATCTATGGATGACAGAGAAATGAGGAGAGAGCTGAGTACAAGAAAGCAAGGACAAAAAGTGATTTGGGGATAGGAAAATATAGGGAAAAAAAAAAAAGTAGAGAAAACTTTAAAAAAAAAAGTTAAAAAAAAAAAACTAGAGTACGAACAGAAGAGACAAAGTAAAACACCACTTTCCTTAAGTAGACAGAGCTGGAGGGTGAGAGCAGAAAATGGTTTTACTGTTAAATAAAGGGCTGTATGGGCTTCACACAGATCTCCTTTTTCAGGGAGAGGTTTTTGGTATGCTCCTCCAGCTGTTGTTTCGCAGTGTATCTTGCTTAGCGCAGAAATAAGTGCCTGAGTCATTAAGTAGGACATGAGTTGTCTCCACCGATAAGCAGCTGCTCTTAGTCCCACTACTCTGGAAGTGGTTTATGAATTCCTTTTCAATCTCTGCTCTGCCACCTTCCACTGAATTTACGATCAGCTGCAGAGTGGCATTCTTCCCGACAGGCAGCTTGTACCAGTACATGGTCAAGAATGCACTCTCTTTTTTTTCTGAACAGTTCAGAATCAGAGCGTCTCCCTCATAGACAACTGTGTCTGGTGATTGCTGAAGGGCCCATCCTGAAAAAAAAAAAAGAAAGGAAATGTGAGGAGTGAAATAGTTTGAAAGGGATGCAAAGACACATCCTTGAAGTATGATGTGGGATGGGGTGGTATAAAAATGTCAGCAAGGATATGGGACAGTGTCCCATTTCTCTGACAGAGACATATAGGAGAAAGAAAAAACAATTTCAAATGTACTAGAAATTTAACATATGTATATTTAATAATAACTTAAGTGCTCTCAGTTGTTTTATCAAAATGCGGCAGAAACACTGAATAGATAGACTTGTTGAGTTTTCTGAGTAAGAGGCTGAGGAAAATCTTTTCATCTCATTCATT